TGAATGAAAGTAAGCGTATTTGCTCGCACGTCTGTTACCTTTCTTCGATTACTATACCCAACTGATTTGCTAACGTTTATCTGTTAATGTACACTATACGACAGCGGGTATTGTCGTCCTGCATTTATCGAAACGTAAACCAGCACTGGTCAAGTGCCATACAAAATTTAAAAAATAAGAATAAATTGGATAGCATAGAAGGATGACTTCAGAAGAGGTCGCGTTCTTTAGATTTTCCGTCTTCAGTCCCGTAGCTTCAAAGAGGCACTAAAAGGGAAAGTTTAGAAAAATAAATTATACGCAAATACCTTTATTGTCGCTGATTTATGCATCAAAGGTTTATTATTAGATTAAAAAATTGATGTCGAAAGTTCTACTTTTATATTTTCACCAGAAATTCCGATTCACACATCACATACTTTGAAGTGTTTTTTTTTGTGTTTTGGCAACATGGGCGCAACGAAAAATGGTATATACGTTAGGTCTCTGAATTGCTCAGAAGACAATTTACTTGATTTTCACCACTGATTAGGGTTTACGTATGCCTTAAGACAAGCCGGGGAAATCGGCGACGTCGTGGCGACTAAGTGAGGAAACGTTCTTTGTGGCTTCGCCACTCGTAATTACGTTTTCGCGCGTTTTCCAGTCTGTTAAACATCTCGCGAAATTCGTGGTGTTTTTGGTATCGTAAAAGAGTAACTCTTTTTATTATGAGAAAAAAGTGTCTTTATCCTTAGTGTCCCGAACGACAACCTGAAGGTCGTGAGATCGAATTCCGGCCTTTCTAAATGATGCTGCGCCGCGCTGACCTATTTGTTTCAGGAATGAGTCTTTCCTAGCTTCAAACCACCACTACACTGCTATCAATACTAATAATATATAGAAAAATAGTGCCGTGGAGTTCCGAAAGTGAGATTGCGCTGTTGAGCTTCAGTAAGCGGGTTCGATCGTCGTTGCCTTTTAATGTGGGCGAAATGCAACAAAGCCCGTCGAAGAACTGTATGCGCGCTGGAAATTAAACTATTTTGTTTCGCTACAGCGTAACTCACAATTGCATTGTTGTTTAGGCATCATGAAACACTATATATTTATTTCCTACACGCTAGTAATGTAATATAGCTAATCTAGCACCCGCTAATCTAGCTTAGCCTGTGCTGGTATAACACGGCGCAGTTTATTACACTATTGCCACGTGCCATGCCGTTCTGCGCAGCTGTCACTATAGAGCGACAGCCGTCGCGCCATTTAGATAGGCTAGAGCGGACTGCGATTAACTTCCGATGAGCCCATCGTATCAGATAGTGCAGTACCTGATGATAGATGTGCGCATGTTCTGTGTTGTCTTCTCAGCGCTTAAATAACTGGCAGCGCGTAAGCTGTGGGTTGTTCTTTGGTGGAACGGCAGCTGTGCGTGGGCATGCCGCTCCGATCCTGTTAGTGTTCCTTTTGTGTCCTAAGCGAGTGGCACAAGTACGCCTCCTTACTAATAAACCTTGTCTGCCGCACCCTCGTCTTCTGTGGCTTCCAGTGACGACGACGCACGTGACACTATTATCTTATGGCGTTGCAGAGGGGAGTAATTTGCTTCGGAGAAGGAGCACTGCTGCCACGCGCTCGTCTCGCGCCCCTGAATACGTGAAACGAACGAAGAACGTCTCTCGAGTGAAGCAACAATGAAAGAAAGCGAGGAAATCAAACAAGCCTCGTCGACAAAAGTGGCGCGCGCTTCGAATCGACGCACCTCCATCACGCTGGGCGAGTCGGCACGCTCTCCTGGAGACGAGATAGCTGTCAGAATTGACCGAAGTGCGGCGCATTCTCTCGATTTGCTAATACGGCGTCGCGTCCACCATTAATAAAGGCCGGCACGGGGAGAGAACGCACGCTGACCGGAATGAGTTCCCCTGTCGTACTCGGCTCGGCACATCTCCCCCCGGGATGCCCGCTGAACCCTTTGTGTCCTTTTTACAGGCACGTAAATGAAATCACGTGGCTCGGAACCGCAATTAGCAAAGTGATGCACGCGCCCCCGCAATCACCGCTCGGTACTTCAGTTGGCGCAATCTAGCTCTCTCTCTCTCTCTTTCACTGTTCTGCGAACGAATAAACAGAGAAGGAACCCCCCTTTTGTTTTCTAGAGAAATGAAAAAAAAAAGATGGCTGTGCTTCCCTCGTAATTGATAATAAAAGCAGCACTCCGAGAAAAAAGGGATTCGTCGCTGTAGAGAAGCGTGTCACGACGTGGTTTCCCGTAATAAAGGACGGCCGGCTAATAGGGCCAGTAAAAAAAAGAAGTTCCTACTACTCGCACAATCAAGTTTCCTGCACGAACTTCTAGAGCATGCGTGCGCGCCATCCTCGCCTAGTCGATGGACGACGAAGAAGAAAGCTTCGCGCCTTTTCATTCAGAACAGTGCTTCTTCTATAGAGCGATTTTTCACGAAATGCTGCAGGTATCAAAACTCAAGGCGAAAAATTTGTTAACACCAGCTTTCGGAAAACACGGGCTGGAGCTGTCTAAAATAGTACTACTCTCCTAATACAGGGGCTTCTGCATTAGGTCATTGCAACAGGGACATATAGGGAATGGTGTACAACTATATAAAAGAATCAAACCGGCTACCATACCAATGTCGCAAAACATACTGTTTACTTATTTTCGCCATTAGTCTTTTTAGTATATTTTAAATATATATATTTTTAATCATTCAGTTTTTTGTTTCATTTTTAAACAACTCATAATAGCCTGTTAGCAAAAAATAAGCTGTTCGTTCATCTAAACAAAAAAGTTCTTGAAGCATTACCCGCATTTTTCGTTTCAAAATCCCACAGCCGCGCGATTCATGGACAATCCTTTATGGTGGGTTCAGTCATTCTTCTCGAGTCCAACCAACCAACCATCTTCTGATAGCATGACGTTTGTGCAGCAGAGCACATTTCGGGACAATTGATAGCATGGTTTTTGCGTTAGTGAATGTCAAACCTTGTAGCGCTTACAAAACTTATCGCGAAATCAAGAGCTAGACTGATTACTTAATATTTGTCTAATCTTAGTGGTAATCGCTTCGTGGTTTCTGTGGTAGACCGTCATATGCTCCACTGCCATTTTTCGCAAGAAAGTTTGTTGCTTCAGTCAAACGTGCATTGAATTCAAGCTGTTCGTCCAGTCTAATTTCCGTGGTCTAACCATGACATATATTTATAGTCAACTGAATGAGTTGCTAGACGGGTCTTACCTTCCTCAGCGCCCCAGACGAGAACATAGGGAGCGCGCTCTTCTGGTAACAGAGGAGAGCACCCGAGTGCGAGCGTCTCTCAAAGTTTAGGGACCTGGTGTTTTGTTTTATGCCCACGCATTTTTCTGTTCGCAGAGACGAAAACTATACCGCTACCAAGGTAACAGCAGTATTGAGGTCATTCGAACCTACTATAGCATAAGGTAAACAGTCGCGAAACAACTTGAAGCTGACGCTTCAAGCGAAACCTTTGCTTTAGCTATGAATTTCTCGATCAAAAGTAATTTATGCTAAATTCCAGCAGTTAAAAGAGTAATGACATATTTGTGGAAGGCGAGTTTAGTCTACTACCTAAATATTTTGTATACAACAAGTGCGAAGCTCAGCAAATGCGATTAAGAATACTTACTTTGAAATTAGTGAATTTCTCATGGCGTACTCACCGGCATCGACACTCCATGGCTTGACGTCAGGTATACCAAACCTTCTGAAATAGCCGCTTGTGCGTCACTGAAATATTAGAAATGGGCAGTTTGGCGCCGCCAATAGAGCCACAGTGCAGAATTGACGGGGAAACCCCGTGATATTTTACCCGAGCACGTGATCAGACCAAGTAGTGACGCCAAGGCTCCGAAACTAGCTGTTAAAAACATACTGAAACTGCTGCGCCACTGAAACTAGTTTTTCAACATGTATTCACACTCAGCAGAACTTTTTTTTTCTAGGCCCTCGAGTACCAGGTTTTTCGTTTTACACAATTAAACTTCTAACTGAAAATCTTTGTGTCCGTACCCCTTCAAGAACAGTGTTACTGCGAATGATCAGGGCACCGTTAAAAGTTTCCAACAGATGACGAAGTGCCTGTTTGCAGTATCTGCGCAGCATTTTTGTGCCCAACATTAAACGCAAAATGACCCAATTTTCACCAAAGATATGATAGCTGTTTTGGCAAATGGGGCGGTGACCACTGAGAACATGCCGGTGGAATTAGTCGAGAAGCCTTATGACGTAGTAAAAGCAGCGTGAAAGAGACGGGTAAAAAATAAAACTACACTTTAAAAAAAGAGCAAGTAAAAAAGGGTGTCTTTTTGTCCCTGAACAATAATCGTCATATATATTGCGTTCCATCCTTGCGCTATCGCCCCGGGCCCGGTACATTCCGGTCACGATCGACATGCCCATTATCCGTGTTACATTGCATTCTCGATAGGAAAGTGGCCAGCGCCGAGTTTTCAAGAAAGGAAGCGCACGCAAGCCTGATGACGATTATTGTTGTGGGACAAAAAGACACCCTTTTTACTCGATATTTTTTTAGAGTGTAGGATGTCAAGAAGGTGATGGTGAAAACGCAGTCTCGACACGTCACAACCAATCGCACACGAGCAACATGACGCTAATTAGTGACAAACACATTTCTTTTCTGGTGGTACACTTCGACCGAATAACGTTAACTATGGTATACGTTCATGAGATTCCACCGAAATCGTCTGGTACACCCTTGAAGGAGTGTTTTGCAAAAGACGAAAGCGTCGCGCATGTCATGCGTATGTATGGCATGTCTTTGAAAGTAATGAGATGCATAAAACACGTGAACATATGACACTAGCAACGATATGCAATTACAGTAATAAATATACATTCATAAAAACACATTACGAGCAGCCACGTTACAATCCAAGCCAGCGTGAACGTTCGCGTGATGTCGTTGTCTCTGGCTGCGAATGTTCGCAATACGCGGCGTTTCAAGCGCGTCAGTCTGGCACATCAGCGCCGCCGTGCTAACTCCGACGTAGAGGCGGGCCGCAAGCAGTAGCAGAACTTTCGGAACGGCATAGTGGGCACGCAGTGCGAGGTGTTTCCGTACAGAGAGATGCGCAGAACTTCTCCCATGACGGTGACGGAATTGCCGAAAACGCGCGCCGTCGCCTCGAACACCGCCTCGCCAGGAGTCGCCACGAGGCTGACGGTGTACTCCCGGACGTCTCTTCTCCGACCGAAAGGAAATAACTGCTCGAACCACAGCGGCTTGTAGCTGACCTGCGTGCAGACATCTTCGGTGAGGTTGTTCGTTGTATCATCTCGGACCTTCATGTAATATTAACGTCATGTTTAACTCGGTATTTCCGGCTATGCTACTAGCGGTAGGTTCTGGTGTTTTATTTATTTACATGTAACTTGTCGCCATTAAGGCGATGGCTATTTCTTTCTTTTAACTTGCTGTCTAAATTGCATGATGAATTCACTCATTCAGAAGGTTGCATCGGCAGTACCTATGCCAGATATTTATGCCTAGTACGTAGAAGCTGGCTGCGAAATGGTACGGAAGCGGTTTAGTTATATTCTATCGAGACATTAAAAAATTCCTCTTTTATATGAATTTGTATAACATGAAAGTGTAACGTGTCAGTACAGAAGTATTTAATTGCGTGTTGTACATTAATACACATAAAAAAACTTGCACAGTGTCTAGTGGTCTTCGGCAGCTACAGGACCATGTAACGTGGATTCACCCATGTTAACACATGGTGGCACATCTCCACCCCGACGACTTACGTCCATGATCAATGATTAAACAAACCTTTCGTGGTAGCTGTAGTAGTTAATGGTGAGAGCGTAATTAGAGAAGGCGGTGAGATGGCCAGAAGAGCGTCGCTGACAGGACGCAGAACTTGGGCTAAGGCCACCATCCTGCAACTATTGATAACCACGGCCGGACTAGAAGAAAATGCTGCTCCCAGCGTCGTGCGTCCCCTGTCGCGGCAGCGATTTATTCTCGGAATAAGCATAAACGAGAAATGCGGAGGCGCGCGTCACAGAGCTACACTTCATTAGAGGTGTACAGTGAAGTGGACTTAATAAGGGGAATAAAATGCGCATGCACAGTGCGCTAAAAGCCCTGTACCGTGTACCGTATATACGCACGCCATTTTTCAGATTTAGCGTTACCGTATTTGCGTAGTCTACGTGATGTACGTAGTAAAACATGGCGGTGGTTTTGGACGCCAGCTTCGAACTGAATTTAGCATTGGTGGGGACGGATCTACTTGTTTCATACCTAACGACTGTGAAAAATGGCTTCCTTATCTGTCGGGTAGCTTTGATGACCCGAGTATTACGGTTAAACTAGCCTAGTTTTTTTTTGGATATATTCTAATTTTGAACGTTCATTGGCTTAAGGAGAAGATGGGTGTAATCGAATCTGCAACATAAAAATTTGTGCTCTTGGTGCATCGTTCATATTTATTTACCTTTATTATTACTGAAAAAAGTAGCGATATTGCTGCGTACTAGGATACAAGCGAAAATTCTCAGTTTCTTTTTCTTTTTACTCTTTTTAACGTATTCACATTCCGTAAGGTGACGCTACTGTTCCAGCTTATGCGCTTAAACGCTATTCCACTAAAGTATATTGTGCTGACTACAAAAAATGTTGCGGAAAGTGCGTTACAGTTTAGCGGGATAGCGTAAAATGCAGCGAGGGATATTGATATACAGAATCGACGGATGCTCTAGGTAACCGAAGCTGAGCTCAGAGAAAATGCTAGGAAGTTAAAAAACTCGGAAGTTATTATATGCAACATAAATTTAAACCCCTTTCAAAGACGCTATTACATCAAAACTGCAAAAAAATGGCGAAGTATCTGCATGTTACACCGCAAATGTCGTCGAAAGACGATAGTCTTGCGTCTGGAGATAGTGAACAAAACGTTAATCTGACGTTCTGCGCAAGAAAATCAGTGAATAGTATTCTGGAGGTGCTGCGTTAGAGTGCCTTGAGCGTGCAGCGGACGCGAACGAGTGCATCAAGTCACGTCGCATGTGAGACATCAGCGCTATCTGGCAATTATCTGGGAAAACGAAGTGCGCGAAGCATTGGAATTATTTGCCTTTTCGTCGAAGCATTGCATGGTCAGCGCAACGTGGTAAATGCTATGGTCCTTATAATTACTTACGTATGCCGTTTCTAGTAAGAGACGCACATACAGAATACTGAGGTGTTGTTACGGTGTCTCAGATATGCGCAAAAATTGATTTTTTAAATGACAATCACACAAGTATCAACACTGTATTTTGAGCAATATTGGAGGGCGCTGCAGATGGGGTCACCCGTTTGGAGTATCGTTAGGCCACTTTGATACCATTTAGGGTACCGTTAAGGGTGGACAAACAGAGAAATGTACAGACAGACGGACCAAAATGTTTGCGTTGAAGGTTCCCAAGAAAGACTATCGTCTTTAAAATAAAGACTATCGTCTTTAAAAGTAAGAAAGCAGGGCAGGCACACTTACGCTATCCCTTGGGTCTTCGATTGTGTGAGCGTATGCGCTATCAACACGCTTGAGGCGTAGTCGAGCGCAAAGTGGTGCGTACGGTTTGAGTATGAGGTTGATATAGCGGACAACTGCCTCAGCCACCTGTAATGAATGGGTGAATTGACATATAATCACATCGGATGCATCAGTTAAGTTTGATCCTATGCACATGCACGTCACAGATATTTTCGGCGGCAACAAACCATCGTGCGTGTGTCGGTCTATATCATAGCTGCGTGCACACGACTCGCTCTCACTCAATCACTCACTCGCTCACACACTCGCTCACACATCACTCACACACTCGCTCACTCCCATATTCACACACTCACTCACACACTAGCTCACACACTCGCTCACTCACTCACACACTCGCTCACTCACTCACACACACACTCGCTCACACACTCGCTCACACATCACTCACACACTCGCTCACTCACACACACACACTCGCTCACACACTCGCTTACTCACTCGCTCACACACTCTCTCGCTCACTCGCTCACACACTCTCTCGCTCACGCACACTCGTTCACGCACACTCGTTCACTCATTCACACACTCACTCACTCACACACTCACTTATTCACACACTCACTCATTCACACACTCACTCATTCACACACTCACTCATTCACACACTCACTCATTCACACACTCACTCATTTACACACTCACACACTCACTCACTTACATAATCACACACTCACTCACTCACTCACTCACTCACTCACTCACCTGAGGCACTGGCCGCAATGACGTCGAAATGGCTGTTCGGCGCAGACACGAGCACCATTGTTTCTCCATGCCGGTGTCGTCACACGTTCGGTTCAAGGGAACCGGAGTGAACAGCGATGCCATCCGAAAGCCGTCGTACTTGCGCCGTGTTTCCCGCTGTGGGCGATGAAATCAGCGGAAGAGGAAGTACTTTATAGCCATACTGCACAATCACATCAAGCCCACAGGCAATTGAAGACATGCTAAGGATAGCGCAACATTCTTATTTAAATCATTGTCGCAGACTGTTCTTCGTATGGTGCACCAATACTCGAGACATTAACTGGTAGTGGCGCGGCAGCTCAGTGGGAGGAAGTAGTAATTCAAGCAATGATGTTCACCTATCACTTTATTAAACCACTTTGTGTTTTCTGAATCATGCTTCAGAGTGCTGCATCCTTAAGAATAAAAGCTAAAGATGTAATTCAAACCTACTTCGCAGTGCATGTCCTATACTACTGCTATCGAGTGACTTAATGCGGCACAGTGTTCGATTTTTCACGAACAAATGTTCCCGTACATGCCCGAGTGCTATTTGCCAGCGAACATATTTCGTCTGCCTGGTAACATGGCACGTTGTCGTTTAAGTACTGAAGTGTTCTTTTGGTGTCCCTTGACAGGAAATAATTAGTTTTCAGTCGAGCCAGCTTCTAGCGTTGAGCAAGTGGATGCGAATGAAGCGACCGAGACTTTTGAGAATCCCAATTAGTTCGAGAATATCAGAATTGAATTAGCCTTGAGGATTTTCTCTGTATCTTCTCACTGCTTACTTAACCCTGACTGAAGCGGATCACTTACGACTCTGGTATATTCTGACGTGACTGTAGTGTTTGAGAATTTCTGCCTTTGGAAACCTCGAACCGGAGTCATCCCTTCATCCACACCTTTTATAACTGAAAAAGGGTTTGTTGCTGTGCTCGTTTGTGATTGCTGATCGTCAGAGTGTCGTGCGAACACCCAAATACGAAGCATACAACACTTGCTACTAAAACGTTCAATGAAATGTCTGCCAGAAACAGGATACGTCACTTCCAACGCACAGGCGAACTGTAGCCTGCCGTATGTGACTTGTACGCCTGCGCTGCATAAGTGCCGTATACAAGATGGTTCAAGAAATGAGTCCAATATTCTCTAAAGATCACAGAAAAAAAAGTATACGCGTGCTACTTGTGGCGTTGCCTTTCCTGCGGCAGAGGGTATCTACAGATGCGTACAAACAATAATTACGGAAGTAATTATAATGAATAACCCAATTAGCTTTTTAACCAGTGGTGATAGCCGGTCGAGTTAAATGGGCGAATTCAAGCCCTTCCTGCGAGTAGTCACTTTAAAATTTTCCAAAAGCGGCCATTGGTAATCACGGTGGAGCTATGCTAGGTGCCTAATTTAGCTGCAGGAACCAAAACCGACGCACCAAACAGCGCATCTACCATTCACTTCGACAACGCCCTCAGTGATGACACTGTTTCCCTCGCCGTTATCAACCGTCAATTTAGACACTTCGCCTTGAGGCCGCTTATCGACGCTCGCTTATTACTCTACGCCAATGCGAGGGAAACAGTGTCGTCAACGAGGGTGTTGTAAAAGTGAAAGATGTCCTGTTTGGTGCGTCAACTGAAGCCAACGCCAGCTAAAACTGGGCAGATTGCATCGCTCCGCGGTGATTACTAGTGGCCTCTTTTCCAAAATTTCAAATTGGATATGGGACATTCGTAGGCACGGCTTGAATTCACTCATTTGACTCGACCGGCTATTACCACTGGTTGAAAAGGTGTTATTTTCTACATCTACTGTTATAGTAATGTTTTTACCCACCTGAAGATGCCTTCTGCAACAGTAAAGGAAACGCCGCAGGTAGCACGCAGATACCTCCATTGTGCCATTTTTGAAGAATATTGGACCCGTTTCTTGAAACACCCTGCATAATATGTGTGTTGTTGCCCTTCCATTGAGGCTATCAGTAGCGCCTACATTGTATGTCTCCGTGTCTCTGTGTTTGGGTATTCGCCCTTCACTATAACGATCACCTTTTTTTTTTAATGCGTATGTGTAGCGTGAAAGCTTTACCAGAAATGGCTGGGTGCTGGGTGCGTCCAGGAGCTGGAAATCTTCCAGCACTCCTCGCAGCGTCGCGTGAACGTCCAGGGGCGTGGTCAGGCGGTGAGCGTTCTCCTTGAGCCCTCGCAAGAGGTCTGGGTGGTGGAGCGTGAGACTGCGAGGCAGGTACCACAGGTAGCCAGGCAGGCGGCCCTCGAGCAGACCGACGAACGTGCGTCGTATGCTGCCCCAGCGCATGCCGTGGTCACTCAGGAACACGACGATGGTATCTCTCAGGTGGTCGCCCTCGTACAGCGACTGCTCGCGCCAGCATGAGCTCGAAGTGAGGAATTCGGAATAGCAAACAAAAAGTGACTGTATCCTCTGATGTAAGAATCGGTATAACACACGAGAGGGAAATGAGTCTTGACAGAAGCAGTTCAATGTTTGTTACACATAGATATATAGTGGTTGTCGGTGTTCAGTGACTACAGCACTCTTAGTTGTTGATGCATCCACATTGATACCCGGTGGCACATCTTGACCATGACAATCAACGAATCACGACCGGTACAAACTGTCCGTAGAGACTGCACGCGCCGGAGCAACGCGCAAATCGCACTTGAAGTACACCGCTCGGAAACTGTGCAAGCGGAACGAAACGAGTTTTCACTCAATCATTTAGGAACTCGTGGTCTGCTGCGGCGAAGTAGAGTGATTAGCGAGTCGGCGACCGTCCTGTGGATGTGTGCTTGGCATGCAGCGTTGTGCTGGCGAGCAGCGTCCGGCTGATGTGTCGCTTCGGTATACATAATGTATACGGTCGTTTCGGTCCTGCATCGGTGTCTGTATGGCAACCAGTTGGGTCACAACGTGCTCAACTTCACAAACGCCAGAAGAGTTCTCAGTTTGTGCCGTGAACGCGCGAAGGCCTCCCACGTCCCCGTGGCATGTTTATCGCTGCGCCGAAAACACTTGCGCGTCATTCATTCGTCCACGCCGTACTTCAGTGGTGCTTAATGCAACAGTTCTCGTAGTCGGTGCCATCGCACTCGCATCAGTAAATGGCGGAGAACACCATTAATTGTTGCATTTTGAAGTTGCACTACACTGCACACGCAAGCACGACGCGAAAAATTTAGCGCACAACTTGCCCCAATACAATGCAAAAGGCAAAGCACGTGCGTCGTCATCGAGCCACATCAGCGCGTAGAGCCACAGCCTCCTAGATTTCTAATGCCTGCCGGATCATCGGGGGTCCCTTGGGAAGCAGCCGTCGTCGGAACTGCGGTGGGGGCGTCACTTAAGTAGGGTTGTCTTCAAGTAACTTTTACGTTTTTGGAGCTTATCTGCAACAAAAATAACGTAAAAATTTTTGAAAAGGCGTAAACGAAAATATAATTAATCCTGCGTAGGCGACGCCGCCATAGATGACGGGCGTTTTGCGCTCATTCAGCAGGCGACCCCTTCAATACAAGGCGTAGCCTCTGAAATTAGCAAACGCCAAATTTGCTGATCTCAAAGGACAAGTACAATGACCTTTAACCCTACGTAGGTGGCGCCGCCATAGATGACGGGCGTTTCGCGCTCATCCGGCAAGCAAGAAAAATAAAGGAGGCTATGGTAGAGCACGTCGCAATCACAGACTGCGTTTGTGGCCTGTAAAATCAACCCCAGAAACCTTTTCGGAGCTGACTGCGGAGGCAACGGTGCACTATGTTTCAATAAAAACCCCGAATGCCACATAGGCGGCGTCGGGAGGCTCTGATGCCACAGCCTAACGTCCGTTACAGCATCGAAGAACCAAAGGAGACTACCGCAGCGTTCTCTATCGCCGTTAGTTGATGTGACAATGAAGTACTTCTCTACTATTGTGCGGCGGCACCGCCCCGACAAACGAAGAACACTGGTACACAGCGAAGGAGTGCGACACATATAATGCGCGTCCGAAGAGCGCCTTGGAAACGCGCCGATAGTTTAGTCGGCTAAGAACACGCTTCCCATTATCAATGTTCGAGAGGTCGTAGGCTCGATTGTCGGGCCGAGGAATTCCGTATAAGTTTTTTACATGCTGCTCATGCAAAATTTAAACAACATCCTATCCGTGACGGAAATACGTTAGTGAATTCTTGGTTGGACCCTTGCATCAAACACTTTTGTGTTAAAATGTACGCACTCAACTGCGTCAAAAGCATTCCATTTTTGACTGGTCGCTTCGGAGCGCTCTCGTAAGAAAGAGAGAGGTTGCGTTTTTACCTTCTCCCCACCTATCTCTCTCTCTCTCTCCCAGGAGAGCACTCTAGAGTGCTTCGAAACGACCTGCCAATGATGACATGAGGAATGTTGACGGAACAACTAGAGCCAGCATTTCGTCAGAGAGACTGGTCTTCGTCTGCAGAGCCAGAGCAAGGAAACTCGTAAACAGCGCTCATTGCGTAAGCAACAAGTTGTGTATACGCAGAATGGTGGTTACGAAACACTGTGGTTAGATTGGCTATTACTGCAAATGAGTTTGGGATTAGGCCTGATGATAATTCATAGTCAACAAACAGTGCAGGAGAGGACAGCGGACAGACAAACAGTTCACGTTTCACTCTCGAGTCTGTGGTCAATCTTCAACTGACATGTGTGCACACGCCCCGACTATGGCTAACTGCAATTTTGTAGGAAGTGCAGCTATTTAGATCAAAGTGGTACGGAACAGTACATGTGCAGTGGGAGTTCACGAATGGAACGCATACATTAACCAGCAGTGACAATGTCAGCTAGCGTCTTCATTTTCTGACAATTGAAATATTCGCATTCTTAACAAAAGAATAGGCGCATTTGACTAGCAGCACTTGCCTCAAAGAACTTGAGAAAGATCTCGTCTCCGCCCCAGTGTGTAGAAGCATAGTCGTGCGTCAGAGAGTTGATCCAGGTGAAGGCGAAGTACGGCTTGTCCCTGAATGTGATGGCGAAGTCGCGCGTGTAGTTTAGCACCACTTGAGCTAGCTGATATGGGCCCACACAAGTGTAGCAGTTCAGGGGCTGTAAATGAAATTGTTGCTACATAGGCAAAAAACGCCATGCTCGTGATAAGAGCATGCATAGAAAAGTTTTGAATGAATGCTTCAACCTAAATACTGCAACGACTTAGGCAAACTTGCTTCCGCGGTTGTACCACGTCACCTTTAGCTCTATGCTACAATTGGGCGTCGAGCAGCTCTTTCCTGACTTGTCATTCGCTCAAACGCAGGAACACCGTCAGCTACACCACTTAATGAGCTTACTAAACGCATGACAAACCGACACGGTGAACGACGCGCGCATTTCACCTCCGGAGTATTTACCTAGCAGCATATTTCACATGTACCGTGAAAACAATATGAACAGGCCACGCACTCCCAAGAAAATCGGAGGACACATTTGTACTGCATTTTAGTGCTATCACTCATTCGTAGTAGTGCATTGCTGAATAGGTCATAGTTACGTCCCGTAGGTGGCTCGGATAAAGTGACACCACAGCTCAAAGACAACTAAAGCTCTCGCATTGCGGATGGCATCACATTTCTTACTGTTTTTCACCGCTTATAACCACATTCTTATGGCGTGCGGTATGCTACAGGTGTGAATGCGTCTATCCATGCAGCCTTACTGCTTATAAATGAGAAGCAGCTCACCTTGTGATAACCCATCTCCTTTTCAAATTGAAGGAGAAAGGGCCGCATGTAGTAATCTGTAGGCTGTTGTCCGAAACCGGGCTTCAGGTAATTGAACGTCGATATTTCAGTGTTGTCTTCGGCGTACAAGGTGCGGTAGCCCGCGTTGGCGAATAACTGCGTACCGAAGAGTGTCGTGCACGACATGTTTTAGAGGTAAAGCTCGTTAGGGTGTGGGTCGTTCTCTAATCCGTCAACAGTGCATAGCATGTAGCCAGCTTTAGTTTATGAATTGCTCACTAGATGGCGTTGTGTGTCTATTAGTAAAATTTTACATAAGATCACTAGATGGCTGTAGGGTATTCTTATAGTTTGTGATTAAAGTGGAACAGACAGACGGACAGACAGACAGACAGACAGACAGACAGACAGACAGACAGACAGACAGACAGACAGACAGACAGACAGACAGACAGACAGACACTTCGCCCCACTCATCATCATTAACTCGGTGGATGTGCTGTATTTTTTATCATCTTGCACATCGGAGGTCTTGGACATCGGAGGTCTTGGAGTTTACAAACGTAGCACAAAGAAGACGTGACACAAGTAACACGACACAGGACGGGCGCTAATACAGGACACCTCACACAATCCGTCCTGTGTCTTCATCACTGTGTCCAGTTTTCTTCACACTACATTCAACTATGAACTTGTATCAGTTCGGCCAATACAACACGTTCCTCTTCCTTTGGACGACCAGGCAAGACATAGTTTAAGATGAAACAATTGAAAATTCCAGCCAAAGAAACGCGATTGCGTTGAAAAACCCGCTTCGTAATTTTAAATAAATTACCTTTCAATGAATTCGAGCCGAATTGTTATTGATCGTCGTCCCGATTTATGAATAATTATCCAGTATCCTTCATAAATTAATGGCTTGGAAGTTTTGTAGGCTACAAAATATATGAAGCTTGAGTGCCTAATCAGATGAGCATTCAAACCGGCACTGCATTTTAAGCACACTTGAAAGACATTGCATGGCCTACATCAGCTCTTTACAAAACATAGAGTTATCCGTAAAGAAAAAGAGAATACGCGTAACGGTTTCATAGCAAAACAGCACGCATGCTAACAATCGAATGCAGCAAATATCAGCCTGAATGAAACCACATTAGGCTGTAGTAAATAGAAAGAAACTTGAGACACGAATAAAAACAAGCATTGGCGCTTAATTTGCATGAATATATCGGCGGCATGCGCATAGAGTAAAAGTGGATTTACTCGTGTTGCGCTAAGTCATTATTCACTCTAAGCTGCGCACCAAGGCTCCTCACGCAAAAAGTCGCGCGTGACTCTATCATAAAGGCAGGGTACAAACACAAGCGCAAACTGACACAGTTTTGATCATGGACCGAAACACTGAATAAACGTGAAACAGGGTCACCAAGACCACGTGTGCATACGTCAAGAATGATCAATGAGAACGACACATGCGTAGCCAGAAAGCCCCTCTCTCCTCTGTACAGGCCGATAGAAGGATCAGTAACACACGCAGCTGCTTGCTGTAATACAGTAAAAGCCTCAGGCCGCACATTTATATTTTTACTTCAACCAACAATCTTAATCTTACTAAGTCGTCTAACAACGTTGCGCTTGTCCCTGTACCCATAGTGTTTTCTAAAAATAACTGGATGGAGACTCTGGCGCGGCGATCATTCCGTGACCATGGCAATGATGGGTAGTACACGGATTTGCCTGGCCTTCGTACTTGCGGTCGGCGAATCGCACTTGTGGCTTCGTTTATTGCTGTGTTTCGGTTTCGTTCGGAAGGAAAGAACAAACCCCTTTAAACTTCGTGACCCGATTTGGAATGGTGAGCCTAAAAGAATGAGGTGGTGAAGCACAACCACTGAACATTTGCCGATTTTTGTTTCGTGAGAAAATAACTTCAAGCCACGCGGACACACACGGAGCCAGAAGTATGAAGATTAGACAAATCCGTCGACTACCAATCATTCCCATGCTGCATTGCAGTTCCCATAGACACTAGCGTCAGAGTTCCCGCTAGTGTATATTTAGAAAACTCTACGCCTGTACCCTCCCTTCGTGAACAATTTTTTTTTCTCGCGCAAACTTTCCTTTTTAAGCTCTGAACATCATCTTTTTTCAACAGGCCTATAGGCTCCTTGTAAAATTTGTTGTACATCTCCGTATAAGTGGCATTGTAGGTAAACGCACCGTCCAGAGAAACGTGCAGTTGTCCCAGACCTTATAGTCGCTTTGCCTGCAGCTTTTGTTCACTTCGTGTATGTGCTGCCCGATGAGAAGGGGCACGATGTTCTCCAGCGTGTTCTCGCCCAGTGCGTTCATTCCGTTCAACCACACTGCTCCCATTCGCGATTCTAGGTACCTGCGAGAAAAGAACGTGCTTCTCTCTGTACTGAGGCTAACGAAGACTAGGTATCAAGTGCAAAAATAAAATGAAACAAAATAACCTTTTGTACGCACGCATGCTCACCTGCACTGATACTATCAAAGCTCTCAAAGAGTTACAAAATGTGTGTGGGGGTTTACAATTAGAGAATCGGCCGTGATGAAAGAAAGCTGAACAAGGAAAAAAAAATCTGTACTCAGACATCTGCATTCGCAGTGATACTATAAAGCTCCGAAAGAGTTATGGATAATCTCTGTTTGAACAATCAGTCATGACTGAAATAACTGGAAAAGCAAAATATTAAGAAAAATAAAATATTTTGAGCTCAAATATGTTAATTCGCAGTGAAACTATCAAATATCGGAAAGAGTCACATAAAGTGCGGGTAATTTTCATTTGAACAACCAGCCATGCATGATGAAGAGAAGCTGAGGAAAAAAAAAACGACAAGTTGTACGAATTACAATACACGATAGAATAATAAGAAGATGAGATCGTTAAAAGGCAATAAAATCCGCAACTGTTTTCCTTAGCAGGATGAAGCCCTGCCTACTGCCTCCCCCCCCCCCCCCCCAAAAAAAAAAGGGGACAAAAAGGGGGACAGAAAACGCACCCAAACACGCTACTACGGAAAGGCATTACTTCCACTTTTTGGAGAGAGTGGGCATTTCGAGGAATAACAAGGTTTACAGACTGGCAGTACATCTTGTTGTGCCCCAGTCTGTAAGATACAAATATTCAACCTCAAAAACGACCTTCACTCAAAGGTCTCAGGTTTGTTCCCTGCCCACGGCAGGTTATCTTTTAATTCACTTTTATTTCTTCAAGTTTACACTACACTTAACTTCTATAACATCCCCCGTACTTTCCTTGGCATGATTGTTTTTTAGATCTCAGTATTATTGTATCTAACAAAGACAAAGCGCCCTTAAAAGCATACACTTCTTTTCTGCTTACTATATATAGCTTAGCGATAAACGTGTACCACTACTGGGCTCGTGGACCCGGCTTCAGCTCGCGGCTACAGCGGCCGAGAATTTCTCACCACAGCTCTGCTTACTTACTAATGAGTCGATTGAACCAGGCTCACTAAGACCCAGATCAAGCTGCGAATCAGAAGCAGCTCGATCTGCGCAGGCCACCATCAGCTGACTGGAACGGCCTGCCCCGCGATATCGTCGAAACCATCTCCTTATCCTCATTTTCAGAAAAAAATAAAACTTGGTATGTCTCAATAAATGTATTGTAGCCATTAGTCTGTACGTGCATCGTGGCCACTATCTTGTAAATGTATGTAACCACTGTTTTGTATGTAGCCACTGTTATGTTAAACCCACCTCTTATGTAATACTTCCCTGCGAGGTCTTCAAGGAGAATGAAGTGAAGTGAAGTGAAGGGAAGTGAAGTGAAGTGAAGATATCGCATATCTGACGGGCACGCAGATATGCACTGCCAACTAGCGCACCTGTCGTATTTTAACACCATGAGACTGAATGAGTCCAGGTGAGTAATACTCTCGTATGTTTGAGTCCGAGAGAGTGCAGTCGAAAAAAAAAAAATTGTGGTGTCAGTTCAAGTGAGCCCGGTTGTGAAAAGCAATGGTAAGTGTTTGTCCGAGTGGGCCATAAGAACAAAGATATTGTATGAGTGAGTATGAGTAAACTCTACGTTATTTGCTGACCGCAACAGGTACCCTCAATCATTTATCGTGAATTTGACACGTAACATCAAAAATATTTTTTTTTTCAAGCTTCACTGAGTGTTCTCCTACGATCGAGGTGGGTACTGTTAGCATTGAGCTGAATAGTAAAAGCAGCCTGCTCACTTGACCGTTTTTGCATGTGAGCGTTTCATATTGTTGCGCGAGAGTGAGTCGGCTCCCACCAACAGCACACTATAGGCACGTCTGCCGCGCTTCGACACCGTTTCCCCCAAGTCGCTGTCGTTGGCTCCATCTGTGGGCTGCCGTCCTAGGCTACGAGCGCAGCGCCTCTCGACTGCCGGCTTGCGAATCACGAAGGCGTGGTAGTTTTTGTACACGAGCACACCCTCGGCGTCGGAGCACTGTAACTGGATGAACTCGAATTTGATGACCGTGTCATTGCTGATGGACACGCATATAGCTGAACGCCTGCAAAAAAATGAAATAAGAAAAAAAAAACACTTAGAAAACTAGGTAACGAACTAGGCCCGTTTTACTGCTCTTTACAATTATTTGTAGCGTGCGCTGTACGAGAAAAGAAAAAAAAAATGAAAGAAGATGGCTTCCCGTTCACCTCGTGAGCCAGTGCGGTTACGAGTCATTCTTTTGCGTCATGAAAGTCGTAGTGTTAGTTTCGCGAAGGTTCGTTATTAGCCGGGGAGTGTTCTTGGAAAATCGAAAAGAAAAACATTACCCCACCCACTCTGCGGAATACGCTTTGATGATCGCGGGATTAGAATTTCATCGAGCCGTTTCACAAACTTACATTCAAATATAATTACATTAGATTCTAATAAATTCACATGACCTTACATTCTAATATAATTACAGCTTACATTCTAATATATTACCTCCGTTAAGAATTGAGAGCTACGACACAAGATGCACTAATTCACAATAGAGTTTTGTAAGTAAGCCTCTGTATTTATAAATGTTTTTTTTGTTCACGTCGCAGGGCTCTGTAGCGTCATAATCATTATAATTCATCATCATTTCTTAGTCAACGCGCCTCACTTCTCGCGCAGCTCACGCGGAACTCGAAGTGCGAGCCAGAAGTTGAACAGCTCACGCACCTGGACACTGCAACCGCCACCACCCATTGGGGCATGGAAAGGCTAACGACGATATAAAACGTCATCTTTTCTGACACAGTTTCACGCCCTTACTTGAACGTATGCTACGCTGCAATCGCAAGAGGCGTGCGTGTTTCGATAAGGTCGCTCACATGGTAATGCTGTCGTTCTCGTAGCTGGGCGGCCGATACACGACTTTGTAGCAGCACTTTATTGGCGGCATCGCTCTTGTTCCATTAGCCGTCATTACCATGGCCGATGTGTTGATGAAAATCCTGTTCATCTGTGATAAGAAGAAATACACAACGAATGCCATTAGATGCCGAGATTTAAGTCGAATGTACAGTGTCAATTTTCATGAAAGGGAACGCGGGAGCGCGTGGTCTTCGTGTTCCGGCGGCTGCTGGCAATGCGTTGAAGCGGGAGCGAAAGCAACCACAGCTGCTCTTCACGTCATCTCGCGGCGAGCATAACAACCATTCGTTGCTGATATGCCACCAGCAAAAACATTTCAACGCCTTCCCCCTCCAATGCGACTACCTATAGTCGGAGAGGAGTCCTTCCTCGATGCCGGTATAGCCACCTTGAAGGGGGAGGAGGTTCCAATCTTGGCGCTGATTCCATATCAGCAGCGAACCGTTTTTTTGCTCGCCAAAGGATGACGCGAGAAGAGGCTGCGGTTGCTTTCGCTCCCGCTTGAACGCACTGCCAGCAGCCGCCGGAACACGAAGACCACGCGCTCCCGTGTTCCCTTTCATAAAAAAAGTTTGCCCCGCCAGGGTGGTCTAGTGGCTAAGGTACTCGGCTGCTGACCCGCAGGTCGCGCGTTCAGATCCCGGCTGCGGCGGCTGCATCTCCGATGGAGGCGGAAATGTTGTAGGCCCGTGTGCTCAGATTTGGGCGCACGTTAAAGAACCCCAGGTGGTCAAAATTTCCGGAGCCCTCCACTACGGCGTCTCTCATAATCATACGGTGGTTTTGGGACGTTAAACCCCACAAATCAATCCCTTTCATAAAAATTGACTCTGTACACGGGGCTGTTTGCCGGGATATGCGGAAAGTTATGAAAGACTAAAGGCTCATTCACACTTGCGACTAGCAGAGGTCGTAAGGAAGCGACTCGTGACCAGAAATACACCAGGCCTGCGTGGAAGGCACAGCACAGTCACAGCGAAAGCGTAAAGAGCAGCCTTTCAGAGGCTTTTAGGGGCGAAGCTCCTTAAAGCGGCACCCGTTCGTCCCTCGTAGTAGTGCGTAACATGTATTACGCTTAAACCTGCAAGGTAGTGCCGGTGGGAGATTTCTCCTGTGCGAAGTTGAACAATAAAGAATTCGCAGCGTGCGCATTAACTAAAAGCCGAATTCTCCTGTCTCTCATTCCCCCTTAGCAGCCATTGGCATGTACATTTAGCACTATCTAACAAGAAAGGGTTGCTACGTTATACTCGCTGGGCGTAACCTCCTTGGTTTTAGAAAGGTTTAGCGAGCGTTAGGCCGCAGTGCCATGAATACAGTGAACTAGTATATACCATCAACTCGAGGTGGTTAAAGGTGGGAAGTAGACACGAAGCGCAAGCCGTAAGAAAATGTGCGTGTGCGACCTCTCGCTCAGTCCTTGGAATGTCCGCTGGATGGCGGTGCTTCTATACGTGGAATATATGATGAAAAGAGGTGAGGTGGTGGTTCTTGGAGTGTTGACTAGATGGACGAACAGACACACAGACAGATGCATGGACAGACGCCACGAATGGCTGCACGGACAGACGGACGCATGGACGGACGCAGGGGCGGATGCATGGACGAACGCAGGGATGGACGCACGAACGCATGGATGGTCGGGTGGATGCGCAGACGGTCACACAGACGGACGCATGGATGGATGGAAGCAAGAACAAATGGACGGACAGATGCTTCACCCCACTCTCCATCATTCACCCCGTGGATATGCTGCCATTTTTTAGATGCGGAGCATCTAATACTCGAGGCTTGTAGTGCGGCGCCGTCCACAAGCTTCCTCCTCCTTCTTCCACCATCTGTGCATTCCTTCCTCCTCTACACACCGCGCGCGCTTCACTCCTCCACCATCTGTGCACCCTTCCTCCTCTACACACCGCGTGCGGCAGCTGACGCGCGCGCATGCGCCGTCGCGCTTCGAGAACATCGGCAGCTGACGCGCGCGCATGCGCCGTTGCGCTTCTCCCCCTTCTCGAAAATTCGACAGCTGACAGTGCATGCGCCGTCGCGCTGTATATATACTCAAGGTCGGTGCTCGCTCGCTCAGTTGCCGCTCGTCGGTTGGTTTGTACGGCGCGTCGACGTCCGAGGTCGCAATGATCGACGTCCCTTCGACCAGCGCCGGCCAAAGTGTTGGCGGAACCACAACCAAGTCGTCGTCCGAAGACAAGGCAGCGCGGAGAAGAGATCGCGACGCCGAACGTAAACGTCGGCGTCGAGCGGAAGATGCTCAACTTAGAGAACGTGAAGCCGTTGAGAGACGTCAGCGTCGAGCAGCAGCACCGGATTCGGCCGCTTTGAAACGTAAGCGTCGACAAGAGGACCCGGACTTTCGAAAACGGGAAGCCGAGTGCAAGCGTCGGCGACGAGAGGCCGATCCCGATGCTGTCCGCGAGCGCAAGCGCGCCGAGGTAGCGGCGTGGCGCGCCAAGCAGTATGCCACGCCCAACACTCGCTTCAAGCGCGACTTCCTCGACCGAAGCTTCGGCCACACCTGCAAGGTGTGTGATCGTCTTTGGTTCGATAACAACTTAACTCGGATCGGCAACATTCAGAACAACTCCAAAGCGTTGTCGGTTCTTTGAGATACGTTCGGAAAGGGCACCGACTACGCCGACTACGTCGTGTGTGCTACGTGCAAGCAGTCGTTGATTGCCGGTCGAGTTCCCTCGGCTAGCGTGAGTTACGCTCCGCATCCTCCTCAGTGTTCCCCCGAGAGAAGCTGCGGGCAATTTTTTTTAAACACTGTTTGGGTAAATGCTAGAAGCACACCTGCTTTGTACCCACTACGCCATAAATATTCATAAGTTCTGAGCAGTCCGGCATTCACTATGCTATCTTTCGCTATTTTTCGGAGAAGCCTGGTATCAGCTAATCATTTTTAACAAATTTTATGTTGCGTTCAGTGGCTGACGACGATGAAAATAACGTCTGAAGTGGGTATGTGCCACAGTTAATGCGTGATGAAAAACGAGCTTTTGTAATATGTTGGAGCGCTGGACGACCCACTCTTTACGCGATTCAAATTGTGTGACGCCTGGTTGTTTCCTTGCTGTTCTAAAACGCTTTACAACCCATATTACCACGATTCCTTTCCCGACATCAAGCCTACCTAAGGAAAGTATTCAACTGAATCGCGAGCACTAGCGTGGCTCAGCAGTAGAATACTGGGCCAGCACGCAGTGGATTTGGGTTCCAATCTCACTCTGTCGCCACATGAATTCGGCGTTTCTTATTGAGTTTTTTCTTTCTTATTTTGTACGATAGTGGTTACGGACACCGGCGGCGGCGGCGCACAACTACGGCGCTGCGCGTGACCCGAGTTGTGATCTCGTAACAACTTTCGCTGTAAAAGCGAATCGAGCTGACCGATGTTCAGGCTTTGAATGAGCTGCGTCAGAGTGGGATCTGATGCACATAAGACATATCACTGCCCTGGATAGGGTTCAGAATACTCGGCTAACTACAGTCGCACTGCTAGTGTAACAGCCACGACCGCCTTTATCGTCTCAATTTTTGCTGCATAAGCGTAATTGATAAAACGTACAACGACATCGTTATTCAGACACACTTGTGTCATCTCAGCATCCTACGTCCCATGCATCTAAATGCGCAAAATATAATTTGAATGTAGCCATGAAAGTAGCTAGGGAGACTTAACGTTAAGTCACCTGATGGTGTCATGAAAATGCTAAATTTGCGCAAGGTTGGCACCAATGGCAACCCTCGCATGGCTATCGATTAACAGATAAACTTACTTCGGTGTAGCTGTAAGCTGGGTAATTTGTGCAGTTGATAGGACGCGTTGTTGAGACGTAGGGCAACACCGACGCATGCCATGGCCCGTAATCAGGGACCACACAACTCCTGCGTTTTGAAGAGTGCATGTATGACTGGCAGCTTAGTAACAACAGGCAATACGTAAATGACCATTCACTGCGCTCTGCCTTAAACATTCTCGAATGTAAGCGACAGATGCTCATTTCGAACTTTAACCACACGAACTAGTTTGATAACCATATGCGGCACATACTAAAATGCCCGGCACTCAAGGAGCATTAAGCACTGCACAGAATAACGCAAACGTACCAAAAGACATTCATTTCAGCCTTCTTTGGAGCAAGCCTTGCTGTCCTAATTGTGCATGCCAACAGAAGTTTAATGTGACTGTTGCGGATCGAACGTGTAGGCGAGTTACCACATCTCGAGTGCTGTTGTAAACTGTATTTGCTGTATAAGATATATGAGATGCGAGCGTAATAAATCTAGAATGCTACTGGTTGATTGGTTGTTCCTCAGAGTCCTGACACTATTCACAACGGCGGATCGGCCATGAAACGAACGGTACCTCATTTTTGAGATCGAATTGTTTTACGAGCCGGGATATTTAGATAAAAAAACAAAAAAAAACTCAAGAAGTAACTATGGTTTGAAATAAAGTGAATTTATGCCTCAGCTTAACATTCTATTCGTTTTGTTGCCTTTAGAAAATCGAATACGGCCTCGCAAACATTCCTACGGCTAAATTGCTTTTCAGTTGCTCCAAAGTAAAGGACAACCGGAAAGGATACATTTAAAGCCGCCTTACGGAGAGTTTCTTCTAACAGTCTCTGCCTTTGATTTGTAAACAACCTACTTGTTAAGAGGAAATCATGCAGTGATTCACTCTGGTTGCAGTGGAGGCATGGGGGAGACTAACACAGATATAGAAAGAAATGGACTGAATAAGCAATCATTTGTGCGCTTGTTCGTTTATCTATCTAAATTTCCAAGTGTTGAGATTCTTTGAATAC